TCTCTCCCCGTTTGCTACAGCCACCTGGAGTCGCGACTTGTCTTCCATTGGTAGCTTCAGTCAGAGCGCAGCCTGCTTGCTGATGAAGTTGTGGGTGCTCCCTGAGTCAACCAGAATCCGTACCTGTTTTCCTGCCACCTGGGCTTGCAGCTGCATGGTTTGGGAGTTTTGGACTCCAGTGATGGCATGGAGGGAGATCTCGGGTTCTTGTGCCGCCTGTTCCTCTTCTTCCTCCTCCAGCTCGTCTACTAGGAGGCAGAATAACCGCTTGCAACGGTGGTCGGTTGAGTACAACTCGTCACAGTTGAAGCATTGGCCCTTGGCTCGACGCTCTGCCATCTCGGCCCTGGATAAGCGTCTGATGGGAGGTGTTGTCGTGCTGCAACCCATGCTAGTTGCAGCTCGGGTGGTGTTGCTGGTGAAAGGGCGTTGTTCCCTATTGGCGGCCATCGAAGGCCCTCCTATGGTAGATCTTGGGTTCGCCCAAGTCGTTGCGGGACGCCCCATGCTGGACGGCCCTCGGCTGATCTGCAGCTTGCGCTCGAATGCTCGGGCCAGATTCATTGTTGTGACCAAGTTGGGTGGGCTCTGCATCTCCACATCAACCCTCAGAGGTTCCGCTAGGCCGGCTGTGAACATATCCACCTGYTGGTCTGGCCAAACCGAAGAGGCTCTGGCGAGAAGGGTTTGAAACTGCCGCTGATACTCCGCGTCGGTCCCGGTCTTCTTGAGGTTAATGAGCTCCCCCAAGGGGTTTCTCGTTAATGGGGGCCCGAACCAGAGGAGGCAATACGACTTGAACTGGCCCCAACTAAGGCCTGGTTCYTCCTGCTCCACTCGATAGAACCAGAGCTGTGCTTCATCGGTCAAGTGGAATGCTGCCAGGCTGACCTTGTCCTTATCTTCTGTGCGCTGATTGCGGAAGAATTGCTCACAGCGGTACAACCATCCAAGTGGGTCACCGTTGCCGTTGTATGAGGGGAACTCCAGACGACTGTATTTGGGTATGATTGCTGCTGTTGGTGTGTCACTCTGTCGCTCACCAGAGCCCTCTACCCGATCTGGGCGGCGGCTGTGATGAGTGGCTGCCCCTTCAGGGCTCCCTTCTTTGGTGGAGAAGTATAACTCCAGTAGACGCCGAAGTTCCCTGACGTCCTCTTTAACTTCCCTTACCTCCGCGTTATTTTCCACGAGACGGTGTTCCAGCTCGTGAACCCTGGTCGATAGCTGCTCCATGTCGCCCATGACGCTCGGCTCTGATACCAAAATGTTATGGGCCCGGGCGTAGGATCTCATCACGGGGCGGTTTGCTGGGAAAACTCCTTGCCTTCCCTTTGTGAGTTAACCCTATGGTGGCGGACTGAGGGGTGATTTGTTCAAGAGATCACCTAACTCTCCTTGTTCTCTTCTTGACTAAAAATTCGATACCTTTATTGAATAAATCAGCTCCTTAAATAGGAGATTACAGGAGGGTTTCCTTCTTGTATTCGGCTAAGGTAGTCCCTCTCTTATCGCAACTTAAACTTCTATCGAAACTCAAACTCCTACTTCTAAGGGGAACACAAAAATAGGGGATAAGGGAAAGGTACAGCTGGCGTGGGGCCCCGCTCTACGTTGGTGCGCGCGACCCACCTTGCTACTGCTGCTGTGAGGTGCGTGCTGCTGTCGTGTGGTGTGTGCCACTGCCGTGCGGTGCGTGCTGCTACCGGGCGGCTGGTAGACTGTACCACAGCGCGCTGCCGGGCGGTGCGTGCCGCTAGGCGCGCTGCTGCCTGTGGTTGCGATGCAGCGTGTTGCCGGGAGTCGTGTCCATAACACCTTCCTCCCCCAAGAAGGAAATATGTGATAACTTTGCGCCATCTGGTTTTTTGTCTTGCCTTTGAGGAAAATACTAACTTGAGCTTCGAAGCACTCTCACCGGGTTCTTCCCCGGAGATTACTCGTTTTCTCCTCCGTTTCAGGCACCTTTTGCTCCAGCCCGAAACAAGATCATTGACAGATAAGACTGGCCGAATTGCGCACCATCATTAGGCATCTAGGCAATCGTGGATTTTCAAAAATAAAATAACAAACAATGTATTTGCATTTGTGTGAAAATAATAATAAAACCATGTTTACTCTTAAGTCTTAACAAACAATGTATTTGCATGGATATACCACGGCAGATGGGATCTCATGAAAGCAATGCGCATTGCATACTAAGAATATCTTTCAAATTAACGGAAAAATATTCCCAATTGTGTTTGAATATTTTGTCCACAGAAATTTTGCTTTTTGCTCATATTGCAATTCCAGATCTGCTACCACAAAGCCACCCACAACTACAACCACACATCGTCAACATCTAATTTGTCATTCTTAGGAGATGTTCCGCAGATCCGAGCTCATATACCGTTCTCATATCCTTATATAATGAGTAGCAAAATAAAGTTTATTATCTGAAAGATTCCAAACTTATCTCTTTAAATTTGGAAGTTCCGTCAATTTTAAATGTTAAAAAATAAATAATTATTAAGAAGAGTTTGCCAAAATAATGTGTTGGGCCTTTTGGCAAACTATCATTTCAAAACCATTTTTGGAAATGGCAACAGCCAAAGCATCATCACTATCAGTTCGATCGAATTTAAACAGTACTTTTAGGAATGACAATGAGGCAGGTTCAGGGTGGGGCACTCATTTCTTGTTTGGGGTGGAGAATCTCCAAATTGTCTCCATCAATGCACTGGGTTCGACTATGATATGAAAAAGATATGATATCGGAAAAACAATTGATCAATAAATTGGAATCATAAACATGGTAACGAATCCGGTATCATTTATCAAAATTCATGGGTGGGCTTTGATTGGTCAAAACTCTTTCCATATCATATCTTCCCTGTATCATAGATTTTTCTCCACTTAAAAATAACTCAATCTATGAATATTTTACAAATAGAATTATGGACTAAGATTTTAAAAATTTAAGAAAAATTAGAGATATTTTAAAAATCAATATTAAAATGATTAAACTAGATTCCAATGAATAATCCTTGATATTTGGCCCAATCCATATTTAAGTCTAGGTGGCAAGGCCAGGCATCATCCTTTTAAATTTGGATCATATTTTAACTCTTAGGTGGCCCATCAACGAAGATGCATTAGAACTGGGTAAAGAACCACTTCAAGAGGATGCTGTTTTCCGAGGCATGAAAACAGGTATGTTGGATTCACCCATTAGATTATTTGTATTGATTCAGCTGATTTAATATCAATTTGATATTGTTTCGGAATGAAACTTTGCTTCTGTTAGCAAACACAATTAACACTGCAATCTTAGTGATAAAAACTCAAGAAAACACTATGTTAAGTGGTCAGAAAATAATAACATATAAATATGTGGTTTCTGTATTATATACTTGAACCAATGATAATAATAAAACTTTTAATTGTTTTTGACCTATAAAAATAATAAAATTCATAAAATTGTACTTATTCAATACGAAATATGAAAACAAAAAGTTGACTGAGATGTAGTCATGTGCATCGATTATGTGGTGTAGGTAGAAGGAATTAAACGAGAGAGGGGAAGACAAAAAATAAATATAATCTAAAGTAGAATCAAATCACATAAATTCTAAAGACTTTAAATTTAATGGAAAACATAGCTTTTGACAATGAACAATCAGGGGTTAGCATTCATGTAGCTAACCCCAAATATTTGGGATTAATGATAGGCTGAATTGAGCTGAGTTCAAGTAAGATGATCATGGACCGGTACGGGCTTAGCATTTGTGATAAGGACTGTAGGCCAGGTGGGCCATCCTGGCCTGGGCTAGGCATGATTCCAGGCCTATGAATTTGATGTATAAAATATTAAATAGTGTGTATAAAATTATATAATATAAAATATTATATATAATATTTATTATGTGTGGGTTGGGTTGCCCGTACTGTTTGGCATCGTTGATATTGCTCCAAAAAATAGTACTGCATCAGCGTTATATTGGAAAAAACTGTACTCAACGAAACAGGCATTTGTTTGGAATCGTCTTTCATAAAAAACAGTATTCTAAGCTATGTCTTGAAAATTAGGAAGACATGACTCAGAACAATATCAAATTTGACGTTTCCTAAAAGTACAATTCATTACTGTCAACAGGGCTGTGATGTGGCAATAAGTTTGGTTCAGTGGTCTTGATGCAGTTACTGACTTACTGTTGTGTGGGAAATATCTAACCTTTTTCAGTTTTTTCTACTGAAGAGACAGTACTGTTCAATTGGATACAGCCCACATTTAATTTAGGGTTGGATTGAGCCGACTTTAGCCAGCTAGTCCACACGTTTTCGAGATATTTTAATTAAGAATCCACCACAAATTTATAAGAAACATCTTGTTGATCTTCATGCACTCTAGGCTTAGTTTGGGAAGAGAGTAAATGCTAATATGTACTGTGCAAACTTGTATTTGCACTGTACATATTTGTACTTGCACTCTTCCCAAATTGAGTTCTAGGTCTTAAGAATGAAGATACTACGTGCATACAACTACGTATATGAAAAATGGGTAGCAAGTTCTGACCTAACAACCCATTTTACCAATCCACTTGCCCACCCATTTAAGATGTTGCTGGTAGAGTATGGGTCTAAGTCACCCATTGGCCTGGGTGATTCATATACGTGTATGAACACACACACTCATATACCTCGTGGGAGAGTAGGAAGAATGCATACAGGAGAATCTACATATATGACTCATATATAACATGAGATCACATCCGTAAACGTATGATGAGTGTGTGTTCATGCGTGTCTGTGTGTCACACGATTTTGCAACGTGTCTAAAGTTCATCCTCTGATTAGAGACTCGTTCATTAATTAAGAAGGATTAACGCAACACTCGTGTTGCGACACGAGGGGAAGGACCACAACCACATCCACTACTCGACAAGGTAAAAGAGAAATAAAGGAAAAAAAAAAAGGAAACACAAGTATGAAGCTCATACCTACTTTCATGGAAACCTTGAGCATCTTTGCAGCTTTTTCTTTTCTTTTCTTTTCAATCTGTTTCATTTCACTGTGATGAGTCTCTCCGACAAGTTTAAGTATATCAATTGAAATTGAATACCCAAAAGAAGAAAAGAGCAAAGAAGAAAAAACTATATCTCTTTGTACCATTTAGGTGTATGGCCCTGTACATTTATAACTTAGCAAATTTAATTCATTTGGGTTTCTATTGGATATATTATATATCGCAATTAACAAAAAAAATATTGTAGAGAGAGAGATAAAAGGAGAAAGTGGGGAGATGTATCAGAATCTGGTAAAAATTAGCATTTATCTGCCCTTGTGATCTTCAGTCTCTTCACAGTGGTCAAGAACATCCTGAGATAAGCAGATATTTTTTCTAATTGATTAATATATATGCATTTAAATTTTAATGCAAGGAAATTAAACCAGAAAAATAGAACAAAAGAGAGTGTAAGACGAAGCTTACTCCCATGGAACATCTCCCACCATCATCCAATCCCCTTCCTTATCTTCATACGTCAACACATGATCGTTGTCTGAAAGAACTCCATCTATGTCAGGGCCTATATCAAATTGTTTTCGGAAATTAAAGGTAGGAAAAGAACTCCTCATTAGTCATTAGTTAAAACATAAGGAAGCTAGCAATATTTAATTTTCAGAACAAATGGTACATGATCTTCATAGTACGTGCCATCAAACCAATTTTGGCTTAACTAGGTTTAAATTAAAATGCAGACACAAATAAGTTTAATTCTAGTCTATAATTCTGAATGGAATTAATTCAAGTTAGTCATCTAAAATCCTATATCTGTGTCCCTGATCTATACTTACAGAGAATGGTGGTCCGGAACATCTGGCCAAGAGTTCTTACTAAGCCATCATAATCATTGTGAGCAAACAGATCTAGTTTCCTTCCGATTGGAACTCCTTCCATGTAGACTTTCACAAAATAGCTGGTTCGTTGTCGATTACTTCCTTTCTCTGCAAGCGTACTCCGGAGGAGAGGCTTGAGCGGCGGCCAATCGGATGATTGCTCTCTAAAATCCAGGAAGATGGATAAATAAAGTATTCCAAGTAGAACGATATCATGTAAACCTGAATAGATAAAATTTAGATGTGGCCATATGGGTACTACCACATTCAACTTAGAACTCATGTGGAGATTAAGAAGTGAGCAAAAAGATGAAATGAAGACATGACTGAAGGGGATCAAGAGTGAAACAGAATAAGTGTATGTATCGCGATTATAACAAATGCAGAACATATATTTCTATATATAAAAGAAAGAATTAAAAATCAAATGGGTATTGATTATATAGCAAAAGTTCCAAGAGAGTTGAGGCAAAAAAATAAATAAATAAATAAAGAAGAAAGGAAAAAAGAAATGAAATGGGTATTGATTCTAAGAGTGGAAAGGCAGAAAAATAAGAAGAAAGTAGAATTACTTGCATCTACCTTGAATTATTAGAAAAGTTGTCAATTTCCGACGAGGTTGAAATATTGAGGCCAAGCCTTAGATCGGTGCTCAAGTCTTTCTTTGTTTGAAGAGAAGATGCACATGAGAGAGAAGGGTGATTACTGCTATCAATTGAAGACGAAGAAGAATTGGTCGACCTACCCATTGTAGCGTTCTGGTGTGTGTGCGTGTGAGAGAGAGAGAGAGCCGCCACCTTAGGCTTAAATAGTATAAATAGAGAGAGAGACAGAGAGGAGCAAACTGGCAAAGGGGAATATATGGAAGGAGGGAAATCCGACCCTCAACAGACTCGTCGGTTTGAATTGTCGTCAAGGTGGCCGACATTTACACGTGGCATATACCATTTGGTCCGCTTCGTTTACTCGGCTTGGCTCATTTTGGTTTTAAGATAGAAAATAGAGATAGAGATGGGCTTTAAGTTGTTTGTTTGGGTTGAAACTTGGAAGTTGGAACCCCTTTTAATTTTTCTCTTTATTGTTGTCTTGTTCTTTGTCTTGAGACTTGAAATGATGAGGGTTTTAGGAGTCGAAGAAGAATAAAGTAGATGGAGACCAATACCAACTTAATAGGTCTTATTTACTTTTCAAAAAAAAAAAAAAAAGGTCTCAGTGGGGACACCACTACAGAAATAGTCGACTTTGATCTTATAATCATGCCCGTCTAATGTAGGACTGTTTTGACTAGTCAATACTCGATAACCCATTGAGACTTGAGACTTGGAACTTGGGAGATTTTGGATTGGAGAACCATCCGAATCCCATGCCTGATCGTGATGGGACGGTGGTGATGCGAATTGCATTTAATTTTATGGGAATAATGGGATTGCTTCTCTCTGTTATATCCTTTCTTTTCTCCTTATTTTAACATTGTAACTTTCCAGATCTTATATATATGTATATATATATATTGTTGGAAAAATCAAATCCGGTTTTAGTCTAGGTTGGGTTCTGGTTGGCATTTTTATCCGACCAATCTAATTGCCTCCCTTGTTTATGCCATCATTCCAAATTTCATACCATGATTGATACATCTTTCCTTCTTTCTCTTTCCTCCATCTGCTCTCAGCCTTCTGCGTGTTCTAACTTATGGACTAAAATATAATCTACGGTTTCAGTTGGTTTCACCATGAGTATATATGTATATGGAGTATATAGTTGCTATAACTGAAGTAATGCAATTAATTATCATGGTTATGGAATTGAATGCTGTATTTTTTTGCTATAAATAAATTAATATAATCATGCAATTTAACGAGTAACACAGCACACAACATTCAATTCCTTCACAGAGACTTACTGTAGTGATAATGTGATATAATTCAAAACCAGAATAAGGTAATTAGCAATCGAGAAAGTGAATTTACTGTAGTGATACAATTCGAAATTAAAAGGATTTATGCCGATGGCGAAAGGGAAAATTTGAAACAACTTGGTTCGTGATTCATGAATACAAGAATAAGCCCCTGGCTGCAGCTGCTGGACATGGGACGATTTCAAGTGATTCACACTACAGCTACAGGTGGGCTTGGCCTCATCATGAACAAGTTCTAACCACCATGCGTAATCAAAGTGTTTTGGCAATATTGCCTACAAAGGTGGCAGCTAATGAGAAAAAGTGTGTAGAAGAGCTAGGTACAATCTGGGTCATGACAATGACTAGGACCGTAATGTCAGTTGTTAGGGCAACCATCTGGACCCATCACTCATCTGTTTTGGTCTACCTCAACAAATTCTTGCCTAGGGTTTAAGAACTAACATTTTCCTTGGAAAATTAAAAAGAAAAAAAAAAGGGAAAAACTATCAGCATATTTCCATAAGAGGCTAGGACTAAATTAAAGAAGGTGACTTTACACTGTAGGAAAAAAGAAAGATTTTGCTTTTCAAAAAATTCTTTTTTATTAAATTAAAAACTTTTATTAATTTAGGGCCCGTTTGAGAGGGTTGGCTGAGCTGAATTCAACTAAGTTCAGCTGCTTCGAGGAGCTGCAGATAAGTCATTCAAATATTGAGGTGGACAGTCCTTCAAATGATAAACTGACAGCCAATCTGTCGTGTAGGATCCACCACACCGTTTCTTTTATTTCTTTTTTTTTATATACGCTCTGTTTTCTTTGCTTTTTCTCAATCGCATATAAAATTGGAAATGACCACTCTTCTTGGTTTTTTTTTCCCTTTCTGATTCAAAGGATATATTAAACACAAACTAGCTAGAAATACAAAGTATTAAATTTCAAAGAACCATTTAAGATAAAATCTTGTACGGAAACTAGTTAATTATAATAATTAATTAGGGAAATAAAGATAGAGTACTAAACCACTTGACTAAACAGACTCTGATATCATCTAAAACACGGTTCAACCTAAAATCTCTAACTGTTAGGGGATGGATAACTACTAGAGAAAGAGGAAACCGATCATATACACGATTGACATATTAACTAATAGATCAGCATATCCATTACTCTCTCTAACAATGTTCGAGGACAAGATGAGACCCAGCCAAGCTAGTCCAAGTGTCCAACAATAATAATGCATTTAAATTAGCGACGTAGCCTATCTGGGACAAATTAAATAAATACCTCAGGCACATGAATCTCATTAACACCCGCCTTGCAATCCCCCAGTATTTGAATTTTAACAAAGGTTAGCTGTCGTATCTGTGTTTAATTGGGAGGTCACAATGAAATGCTTCGACGGTATTTCATGTCATTACTTGGCACCATTCCTTCTAGCTAGATATGTGCCAACAAAAGAATATTAATCGAATAAACAAATAAGTATAACTACAATCTAGCTTTATTGTATGAAAGAGAGGAGGTTTTTCTTTTTTTAAAAAAAAAAAAATCCATAGTCTACTTCCCTTCAAAATACCTTATTTTTTTGTTTGATAAATCACCATTATCGAGACTTGAGAGATTTGAGAGGCAAAAATAAAGCACCTAAAGCTTCAATTTAAGTTGAAGCTATTTTGCGATGGAGATCCAAGCTTTAAGAAATTAACGAGCACAATGTTATGTCTATAGGAGATCATTATATATATATATATATACACTTGGAAACCATACAATTAAATCAATAGTCCACGTATCAGTTCTTAGTAAAGCTTAGAGAAATTAAGGGAATATTGATACATGTGATACAGTAAATTAACCTAATTAATTGATTGATTAGCATGCAAATATTGTACTAAAGAGGGATCGATGTTCCTAAAATAACCTAATTGAGCATAAACATGCAAATAACGTAACTGTTGTTTGAGAAACTTTATGAAGCAATAAACTTTAGTAGGAGACAAGATGGACATGGGGTTTGAAATTTGGGATTTTGGAGTTTGAAAAGTGAGGTTGTAGGAGGTCATGAGGTTCCAATTGATGGTGGGTGTTTCAACTTTCAAGGCCCTTTATATTAATCCAAAAACACCTCACAGAAAGGAAATGAATATAAGACATGTGAGGGCCACTCTAGGTCTAGGAGACATGTAATCAAATCGATTCAGGTAGCCAAGTCGAGGAGATCGATCAGATATACATATTTCTCTCTAGTCCACGGAATGAAGCATATATCATATATGCATGCACGTGTGTTAAGCTTCAAGCCTTCAACCATTACCATTTTAGTGGGGCCTCCTTGTGCACATGTGAATACACGGGGCCATGATTTCAACATGGTTACAATTAAGAACCCATGCATTAATTGTCCTTTCATGCGTCATTAATTGGAATCAAGAATTATGGTGTCTCTGCCCTTCCAACTGTTACGTACTGTTGCTCTTTAATTTAGTTTCCTTGAGCAAAGGCCAGTTTTTTTGTTCAATTTGCATCCTTGCACATAATTATATTCTACGTATCATTCATCTTTAATTATTAATTAATTAATTTTCCTCTTCATCAAGGCAACTCCTTTTAATAATAATGGGTACTTAAACTTTGATCTAGCTGTTACAATCCAAAGTTGAAGGAGATAGATCACCTGTATAAGTAACCCTTTCAAATACGAGTTCTTCAAAGCCTGATACCAATTAATGGAATCTTTTATATAAACATATATGTAAGTATATCTATATGAGATTATGAAACTTGAAAACTATAGAAAGGAAATAATAATTAGTAACTATATTATTATATTCATATTCTTTTTTATTTGTTTCTTCGCTATAAAGAAAAAAAAAAAGAAAGAAATTATCAATTTTCTTTTTTGATGCATGCATGAAATTATCATTTTCACGTTCCTGCTTAATACCAATTTAATTTATTAGTGGAACCGTACGTTATAATTCATACCAGATCACACCTATAAGCCCCGTGTTTGAAATAGCACCGGGATTTTTATATGCAAGGACCCGGCCTGGACCAAGTAGTTAACTTGGTCCGAAAGAAAGCCAATTGTGTGGGAGAAGATTTAGGTTGTAAAATAATACGAAAAAGGTTGTTTTGTTCCCTCTTTGTTGCTTCCTTTGAGCATCTTCGGCTTGCTGCAATAACTTTTGTTGCAATGCACTTTATGTACAACTCAAGCATCTCTCTTTCTTCTGAATTGAAAACTCAAAAATAATCGTACGTAGATAAAGGTCATTATTCCAAACGAACAAGAGGAACAAAGCGAAATTTAAACACCAAGGTTCGAAGTTGTCTTTATTAGCAAAAAGCCCTGATGCAACAGATAATGTGGGTGTTAATTAATTAAAAGAAAAATGCATGGGATATGCACAAAATATCCATGGAGACAAAAGATAAAGACGAGCTTGAGCCTTGTGGTGGTCATGGTGATGATAGTGCGAGAGGCGGTCCTCGTATGGAGAGCTCCCATTTTCACCACCGTCTATGGACCACGCTTCCCATATCTCATCACATTGCCCCCCATTGTCCACTACATGTTTCCCTTTTATTATTAAATTCCAAGCCCAATTAATAATGCCCCTTAACAATTTCATAAAACCCACTCTTTATATATATATATATATATATATATATATATTAATGGAATCCGTGGGATGCACGGAATTTATTAATCGAAAGCTATATAATAGAAAGAGTCATTTACTAAAATACCCCCTATAATTTCATGGATTTATAAAAATCTACCCTATATTTAAAATTTTACTAAAGCATCACTTATAATTTACAATGGATTTAATCAGTCTTCCATTAGATAACAGTGGAAAATGACAGTGTTGACCCTAAAGTTCATTTAAATAAATTTAA